ATTCGATTTGAAATTCGTGAGAAAATCCATTTCCAACTCGATTTACAAATAACAAAGGGTTAAAGATCCGATTAATGAGAAAACTGTTTGGAATGGAATCTTTCCTCCACTCGCAGACGACGAGATACACGCGTTCACGAGTACAGGAACAAGGTCGAGTCAAGAAGTTCGTGTGATGGGTGATTGTGACGCGAATCATGTCCCTTGATGGTGAATTATTAAACGATCCGAAGCCAGACGCTCGTCGTTGGGAATGTTTAGAGTGCACGGTTAATCGGTGATCCCACGTGCGTCCCTCTTAAAATCGTTTACAGCATAACCTCCTCGTCTCGTGTTCGTGCGGGGAATCGAGAAAGATTTCGCGTTCCAGAAAAATATTCAGTTCTCCAGAGTATATTTATTATGTCTTGTCTACTTATATATCTAATGTAAGGAAAGAAAATTTGGCAAGTAAAATAAATTTGTCACTGTCACATTTCGGATAACGAAGATTGTGATAGAAATTGGACTATGGATATTGCACAAGGTCTAGAGATCCAATTATTAAGGACTGAGCATGAATGATTAAAGACTATATAAGTGATTCCTCTTCGTTTTATTGCACTTTCTGTTTGCAGAACTGTTCTTAAACCAATTTTTATCAATCAATTATATTTATAATGATAAATATATAGCATCAAAATAAAATTTTCAAATGGAATTTGTTATTTTTGCATGCAAGGAGTGTAATTATTATCTCCATGTGAATGTTTCAAAATGCATTATTAAAATTCAATATTTTGAAGAATTAATTATCTTTTAAGTAAACTAACCTCTCCTGCGAAGGCTTGTCCATTCACAGTGTGCTCGGATCCTCTCGAGTCGCTGCATCCCCAATGACAGTGATATTGTTCCAGTTTATACACGTCGTCCATTAAAGGTCCACCGCTTAAAACTGTAAAAAAAAAAAAAAAAATCATTATAAATTTATTCCATTGTACAAAACAAAATGCTAAAAATAAATATAAACCAAGAAAAACATCGTTTCCTCGTATCCTTTTAATCTTAAATTTACCATCCTCAATAGTCGAAATTTATTGCGATTGTAAAATTTTTGTTTCCTTTGAAAATATTGTGTAATTTTTCACCGATAGCAACGTTAACAGAATCTCTAATTTTAGACCGAAATTTGTTGTTGTGTAACGTGAAAACAGAAGTCAACAGAAAGGCTTCCATTACGGCGACGCGGTATCGGGACAAACGCGGATCGTTTCAGCATGTTAAATTACAGGATACGCTTGATTAGCCGAATTACGCGAACGATACTGTCGAGGGGATAGTAGCGGATGGAGAAACCCCGCACGCGTCATAAAGGTTAAAGAAGATTTATGGGGGACGGGTCAGAGTTGAACGCTCGAATCGACGAGTACGCTTTTCGAACCGGATGGAGAAGATCACCTGGTTCAATTGAATATCTATCTTGCTTGGTATATTGCAATTTAAGATTTTCCTTTGAAAAATCTATATAAATTTAATTTTTTTCTTTATTCGGAGAATTATACTTTTAATCAGAGTTTGTTATTATTTTTAATTAGGATTATCTTTATATAAAAATTTGATTAGAAGGATTTTCAATATGGTATGTACTATGGTCGAAAAAATTAAGTAGTATGTAAACAATGTATTATATCGCATTATTTACGTAAGTACTTTATTTTATCTTATCGCATAAATATTATATCAATTTCATCACATTCATTATTTTAGAATTATCGTTTCGTTGTATTAGTTAAATTGTGTATTATCTTTTAATTCTCGTTATCGTATAATTGTTTTATACAATAATTTTTGGAATCAATTTGAGAAAGATGTTTTTATTGATTGATCGTAAGATTAAGAAATCCTTACTCATGACTGTTAATCGATTATCATTAATGTTACGTTACACAAGTGTTCTAAAGTTCATTCGAATATAAAATGTCATCTGTTTAAAAAGAGATTCGAAATTGTGAAATACCGGTATAGAGATCTTCGATTTGTTTTAAAAATTTAAATAAATTGAAATCGTGTAGGTATGCATGTATGTTGGTGTCAGAAAAAATTGAATTACGAAAGATTCTTTAAGATGGAAATGTCAAAGATATTGCAATAAAGATATTACGTAGCATAAAGTTTCAACGAAGTTTGTATAATAGACAAATGAATAGTTGAACTATAACAACAATACGTATTCAAATTTTTATAATAAGCTTGTACCACTCTTGTGCCATTCTTTAAAGAATCTAATAGCTCATTGAATAATACACAATATAACGATAACATAATTGTTTTCTGAAGGTAGACAAGTGCAAATAAGAAACAGATGTGTGTTTTCCAATTGTTTAAACATATATTTATCTTGAATAAAAAAAAGGAAGCGTATGGTATTGGGCCATCGATTCCCTGAAACATTGCTCCATTTCCATCGTGTGAGAACGTTTCTACCGCGTATGAGCACGCATAATGCGTCACGAAATGGCCGTCCTCGTTTCGAGCACACACCTCGCGAAGGTAAAAGCCTCCTCGACAAGCACGAAACTGCCATTGAAACGTTCGAGGGAAACGCGATCGACCAACGATCCGCTTTGCACTCGTTCATTACGTTCGACGACTCTTCCTTCCATACCAATTACGTATTCTGTTTTCTCGTGCGATCATTTCCTATCATTATCTCTATTTCGTGGCCACTGTTATTCGATTTGCAATTTCTAACCATCTTCGATCTGCTTTGATCATGTTTTTATTTATTTATTTTTTTAAACGATCTCGTATTTTGTGTAAAATAACGGAAAATAATTTCTTTGAATTTTCTTTTTAGTATAAATCGATCGTTCATGATTTAAATCGAAAGAATTTCGAATTGAAAATTTTGAATAGATAGAATTAGGAATATATTGTTTTAATTTGAATATTCAAATGCTTTCTTAACATATATTTATGTAATCGATCGAGTGACTCTATTCTTACGTAATCATTTTTTTTAAATGAATATTAAACATTAACCTGTTGCCTGGAAATATGAGGTAATCATATTTTTATTAGTATCTTAAACTTGTCCATTTTTTATGTATATTGTATCTTATTATTATTTATTCAATTTTAATCCTCCATCGAAACAAGTTTCTTATTAAAAATTTATCTGATTAATATTTCAATCTATCATGAAATGGCAAATTCGTACCATGAGAATTCTAGGGAATACTAGACGTTGAATCCTTAGGGATCACCAGATATTCATCAAATTATATCTACTTGACATAAAATATTCATTTCTGTTTTCGAAAAATTGAAATGATTCTATGTAATTATATTTCGAATTTCTGAATTAACAATAACAAAAAGGAAAAGGAAATTATTTATCATTTCATTAATTAATATCAAACTAAATTATCAATCCATTAGGAATGATTACTATGGAAAACAGATTTACAAACGCAAAAAACTAATTTTGGCACAGAGTTACAATATCAAAGATTGCCTTCAATATATTAAATATATTTATAGAACTCGAGTCTCTTTTGTCTATATCTTATATAACTTACTCGAACAAATTACTCGTTCGATTAACAAGTGGATAAATTATAATCTACTCAATCCATACTTAAATATAAATTGTTTCTTTGACAAAAATTTTTTTCTGCTCATAATCCAACCAAGTCTTCGATATCGTAGATAAGAGTGGTAAAGTACAGGATAAAGTTTTACAGCCACGAGATTTACGTTATGATGAAATGCAAACGCGAGCTTTCCCTCTGACGGATTCCTGTTAGGCTCTCACAATGTCGGAAATGGACGATTAGAGCCACGTTTCGTGGCTCTTGCATGCAACCAATTAGCTTCTGTTCGCGGTTAATACTGAAATCTACTTCGAACCGCTTCAAATTAAGTCCGTCGAGCTTCATGGACTAATATTTGGGCCATCTTGATCAAAACAATATTCCCTTTGGCTAAGATTTGATCGATATTAGTTCGAATTAATAATCCATATAACTTATTTGAAAAATTAAATTTCTTCTTTTAATACACGCTTCATCCATCATTTTAATCCATTTATTTTATTATTACAATTATTATTATAAAATATTTTTTGATAAACGATATTTACCAAAGCTCGAATCTGAGAATGAAAAACAAAGATTTGAAAAAAGTTGTTTTTTTCACAGAATCTCTGATCAGGAGACATATTTGCATTTCACAGTCGATCTGCAATTCAATGCTTGGGATCGAAATTGTTCTCACAGCGTGTACCGGACTTTTCAACTAACGAACGACTTCTTAGTTCCGCATTTAAATGCACGAACGAACGGCACGATATGGCACACCGCGTTTCTTAACCCCAAAAAGCTTTCTTTACCACCCGAATGATAAATAATATCCTCGGCCAAGCAACGATATCGCGAGATAAGTTCGTTCAACTAGTTGACAAACATTCGTATTATACTGACGTGAATGATTAATATGAAGCAATCTATGCATTGAATTTTTTTAATGCTATATTTTTTCAATTATATTTTTTTATTATATTTTTTCAAATTATATTTTTTCAAACTTCTTTGAAAATGTCTTTGAAAATTTTTTCGTAGAATTCTAATCGTTCAAATCCCAATTCACCGATCATTATATAACGTGATTTTGATTAAGTAAAATCTAACCAATTTAAAAATTTCTCGAATGGAAAATGAACTTACATGTGCCTTCGCCATCAGTGTCCATCCGCCAGCAGTAACCTGGATTAACAAGTTTCCGGGATGCGGTTGCTGGATACTTCCAGCGCAAAGGTTTGCTACTTAAAGCCTCGTGATCGGATTCGACTTTGTCGGTTTCGATGTTGACAGGACTCTGTCTCGATCCTGCCGCCATTGGGAACTTCGATACCCATGTGCTTGGTCCTGTAACAAAAAAAATATTTTAATTAGTTTGATTATATGAATTGTATGGGTGAGACACGATAAATTTGAATCATTTCGTTAATCACCGTGGTGTTGTGTACAAAGTGATTGTAAAACAATTTATAGTTTTATGGTATGCTAAGCTAAGATTAATATACAATTGTATGATTAGATAAAGTACAAAAAGGAGTATTAATCATCTTAGTTTCATTGATATTTATTAAGCTTTGTATGTAATTCTTGAAATTCTGTACGATTGTCCTCTTTTGTTCTTTTATATTTTAGATGTATAAAGGAATTAATGTTAATTGAGTATATTATATTTTATTCTTTTTCAATGAGAAGAAAAAAATACTGCTATTCAATTGAAAATTAATATTATACGAGATTATTTTATAGAATTAGAATTAAATATATTATTATATTAATATTTAACGATACAATTTTCTAAAAAAAATTCCATATATCGATCATAAAATCTGCAAAATATCTCGACGTTGAATTATGATCATAGATATAACAGGATTTTGCAAGCGATCGAAACTTTGCCAATTATCTAGAAAAGAATGAAACGCAATGAAAATTCGAAGATAAGGATTTATCGTGTTTGAAGTAATGCTTTGAAATCCAGCCTACGACACGTTAAATGAGATAATACAGGCTGATAATATACAATTTAATCATAGATCGGGATTTTATGATTTTGCAATAGATAATGATTGAAACGCCAGAAAAAAATTTCAAAAGTTGTTCACTTTTATTTGTACACAGTATATTCTTTTTTTTCCATCATCTCATCGTACAATTTATCGTCGTATAAATATTAAAACTAAGATTATATTTTTAAATTATGATTCAAATACTTGAAGAAGTTTGATTTCATTTTCTGAAAAATTTTTCATCTATTTCTCTTAACAGTAAGGATAAAATATATAATCGATTATTTAACTTTTAAAAAATCAATAAACCTGATGGAATTTAAGATTTGATTAAGATTTGATGAATGAATTATCATGCCTATATAAAAATATATAATCTGTTTTTCAGATTATATATTTATATTTCAAAGATTATTTCTTTGGAAATAAATAATTTATCGATAAAGTAAGTTTATTGTATTGGTTAAAAATAAACAGAGTTTAATTCGATAGGTCGTTGGACAAGAAAGTGAATGATAATGGCACGCGAATAATAACGCGCTGATTATGTAATAGTAAACGCATCAAAACAGCGTGTATTGGTCCAGATAATCAGAATAAATTATTATATTGATTTAAAACTCACGTTATCACGGATGCACGCGTCACGTGCTACTGCATAAACTTTCATCTTATCGTGACACGCGATTCTGATATTGGTCGTAACGTCCTTCGATTAAACGTTAGTTAGAATAGTGATTCTTTTCTTTCTTTTTTTTTTTTTTTAAATCGACATTCTTTTTCTTTTCCTTTTTGTATTCATTGAATTTTTTGAAATCGTTTTTTTTATTCTAGATTGAATAAATAACTGAATTTCATAGTTGCTTATTTGTTACTTGAAAAACTTTTCATACGTAATGCATTCGAGAATGAGAAAAATTTGTTTTCATCTACTTTTTCGTGAATCACTTCTTTTAAGTATACCCTGAATTAAATGTAATTAAAATAATTATATACGTATAATATTAAATGTATAATTACGTATATATATAAAACGTATAATTAATATACGTGTAATTATTAATGTACATGTAATTATTAAACTTACTACAATTCATCGTTAATTTTGAATAAAAATATTTTTATATTTATTTTTAACAATTGTAGCAAATAATGTGAAATTTATATAAAAAATTTAAATAAATTAAAATAAAAAATTAAAATTAGAATTCTAAAAGCAATTATAAAAATAGTTTTAAAAAAAATATAGAGAGAGCACGAAAAATAGAATTGATCATCAATGAGAAGAAATTTAAAAATGAAAAATAAATATCGAATTTAAAAAGACGAAAAAGTATTTTATTAGTTAAATACATATCAATAGCGAATTATTATTGATTTGGCTACAATTAGCAATCGGTCGAGCGATATGATAGTTAAATGAAGATCATTTTCGGAGAGGGATAGGTCAAGGAGGATTCTTTCGTGTCAAGATCATGTGATATTACACCACGATATTTTTATCAGAGATTTTGCAACAAACAGATTAAAAAAAAAAAGAAGTACATGTGCGACAGAAGTGAACAGAGATAAAAATGAAACACCTGAAGATATAAAGGAAATTCAGATTTAAATGTCTTACTGTATTCTTATAAAAAAATCGACTTTTCTTTTAAACTTAAAAATTTTCTTAAAAAATATACTAAATTTTTCTAAACGTAATAATAATTAAAATTTTAAATTCGATTTTCAATAATTAAATTATAATAGAATATGTATGCAAAATCTGAAGAATGCAAAAACTGAAGAATTAGAAAAAAAGTGTTTATGTTTCTCTATTTCTTTACGTTTCTCAATCTTTCTTAATTAATTTTAATGAATTTTTTTCTTTTAATTTAATATAAAAGAACAACGAAAAAACATTTTTTTATTATTTAATTATCTAATTCAGATCATTTTTCTGTAAAAAAAGAAAAAAATATAAAAAGAACATTCTCTTAAAAATTTAAATATATTGTTTTTGTACTGCCATAATCTCCGCCACATATTCTTTTTACTATTTATAGAATCTTATTGGCACGATTTGATGATTCGATTTTGCGACATCCTTAACAATGGACCAAACACGAAACACGTGATAATTCATACGATTCTCACGCTAACGAATCACAACTTGGCAAAGTGTAAATTTCATCAATCGTAATCTTTTATGCATTACGAACGTCATTGCGCATTTTCATTTTATTTCTCATTAAATAATCATCAATATTTCTAATTACCAAACCAACGTCATTCGTTTCAACTCAATAAAGTTAATCTACCAAATGAATATTTTTTATTTCTTTTCTTTTTTTTATTTATCAATGGCAACAAGTCAATTATTATTCTTCGAAAAGCATGGCATGATGATCGTCTGTTCGTCCCTGGGATGGGAAAAAACAGTTGTACCATGCAGACATTCTTTTATCACACGTTAGATTCCCGCGTGTTTTACAGCTGCGAAACAGCACGTGATGATGACATAATGTACGCGACGTAACCATGATTATACTTGGTACGAACGATATTATACGCGCTATTAATTTGCAAAATGCCCTTTATAACCATATCCGTCATTTTCTTCCAATTTCCCGCCAATATGCACAAGATATAAAAAGATTAATTAGAAAAGATATATCTGATGAATTTTGATTCGAGATAAACGATTAATTTTTCTATATTTCTCGTAAATATTAAGTTAATGTTCAACTTGATTAATCATTTCCGTTATTTTTTTCTAATTTATTGTAATATGAATGAATAGATATGAATAGAAAGATATATGAGAAGTTTTGAATCGATGAATGATGAATTTTTTTGTATATATATAAATTATTTAATTTTTATAGTTTGATTGATCATTTCCGCCATTTTCTTTCAATTTGTTGCCGAGATATGAATGAAAAGATATATTATGAATCAGATACAATTTATTAAATTTTTAAGAAATTTTTTATGAGATGATAATTGATATTGAATATTTTAAGGTTAAACCTCTAAGTGTGGAGTAATAGAAACTTCGACAACAACTGTCAAAGAAACTAATACATATAAACTATACATAGGCTTGGATATAAGCAGTTACGAATTCTGGCTCAATAATTCCGGTTTTGTAGAATTATAAATATCTTACACATCATCTCCACTAAATCCTCCACAATTTTTTATATGAATTTTCCTTTCTCTTTTTATGCTTTTTTTTTTATATTTACATTTTCCTTCCTTCAAATAGTGCAGTAATACTAGTTTAATAAATATTATTATTATTAAAATGATATCAAAATGCAATTATCATTCGGTTTCTCACTAACGAAGGCTAATTCATTATTGCGAAGATGTTCGACGCGTCTTCCGGCCATCTGAATACACAATTCAATCCAGCATCTCTCCCATGCTTGTTGAGGACCTCCATTTATCGCGATCACAGAGCCCGCCGCGATTCGTATAGAAAAATATCTCCTCGAGGTCGTCGAGAACTGCTCGAAGGTTCGTTCAACCTTGCCGAAGTCACGAGCGTAAATGCTGTGTCTCGATCAACGATTGCGATTTCGCAGTGAATTTCTCCTCGGACCTTACACTTTGACCTTCTTAATACTTCTACACCGAGGCCAACTCGTATTTTAAATAAAATGGCAATATTGTCACATGAAAAACCGGATGAAAAATTAAAGAGAATCAAGGTGTTTTTCTGAAAAATTAAATTAAGTCTTGAAATAAATTAAATTGATGAATTTGTGTGAACCTGAATTGAAAATTTACGAAAATTAACGAAATATTTTTTGAATGATACTTTTGATATTATTTTACAATGTTTATAATTTTAAAATATGTATTGATGATGATGTATGAATATAATTTCTTAATAAATACGCGTGAATAATAGCCACACCTTTTAAGTAAACCGGATAAGAAAGATGACGCGTTGCGTCTTCCTGTTCGTACTATTGTGTACCATATTTGATGGCCATATGTCCATGCGACGATTTTAAACTAAGCTTAATTAAATCAAATAGTTGTTTCAAATGCATAACTTGCGTTGCTCATTAATTATGATTTTTATATTTTTCAAAAATTGAGGAAAAAAATTAATTCATTTTATGATTTCATAATTCATATATCGTAATCATAAAATTTTAATTATTTTATTATAAAATTGAATCATCGAGATTGTCTAGTGAGTGAGACTAAATATCGTATATCGATAAAAACAGTATATGAAGCACCGAAATCAATATATGACTTCTATGTCTATAAGACAATCATCAAACTTTCATTCGTTTTGTTCTATTTTTCCACATTTCTGTCCAATTCTAAATAATTTCAGAAAATACAAATGATACAGGTATGTAAAAATTGCATTATGAAAACAATTCTTGAAATTTCGAAAATTTCTAAAGAAAAGTTCACAGAGTTTTTTTTAAATTCTTCAATTGTCAATTAGATAAATTATTTATCTTTTTCCTAAAATTATTTTGAAATATTTAAATAATGGAATAAAGCTAGATAATTATGAAAGCTTGGTTGCAGATTACTTTTTCATACTTTTAACCGATATATATTACCAATCGACTTAATAAAAATCATTAATGATTTTGTATTCCAACGAAATATGGCATTGTATAAATAAAAATGGATCAACAGTTTGCGCAAAAAATAATGCAGAAAGATCAACCTCGATCCTTTTATGGCAAATTTCTGTTTGACCCGAATTTCTTGTTAATTATAGCAAGAAAAAAAAAGAAAAAAACAAGGAAAAGAAAAAAGAAAAATACTCGTATGAATTTCAACAAAAGTTTCGAACTAATCAAAAACAATAAAATGATCATATCAAAGATTTCTTTCTAAAACGCAACACGTGTCTGCAATTAAAAGCCTGCAGTAAAAAACTTCGTTTTCACAAGTTATACCATTTCGAATATCTTATCTTCCATTTCATTTCTTAATTTAATCACGATTCTCGAATACATTATATTATTAATTCTATTCCAATATTTAATTCGATCGATATTTTTCGATATTCGTAATCCGTTTATTTATAATTATTCTACTCAGCAAAATATTCACGATAATGACACCATAATGAAAAAGATAATATGAATTAATAATTAAATCGATAATCGATAACGATATTCGAATCGATCAAAATAATCGACTCTCAATTAATTCCCACGTCGATTAACAGCGCCGCGGTTTTAAATAGTCGTAATAATGCAATTTCCGATTATAATCGAATGTCCCGTAGCGATAAATATTCGAACTGATTGCCATTTCTCGGCCGAATCACTGGTACACGTTCAAAAAGTCAAATGACTTAATCGTTGATCTGCACGCCGGCAAGGAATTTATGCAAATCACAGTATCCGCCAAACTTCGCGATTGCACTCGCGCCGGTTCAAAGATAGCGCTGACAAATTGGCCCCAGATTAAGGGCATTTCGAAGAGGCATGCACGGTAACCGGGTAAGGCGCAACAAAACTGGGTCTCTGACCCCTAACACACGCTTTCGTGTATACGTTTCACTTCGTTCTCTCTTGTGAGTATTTGCATCAAAAGTATGCACGTCGATATCGCTCCGGTTGCTTAAATATTGATATTTAATCATGCGTCAAATGATTTATTTATCATCGATTTAACCAGTTAGTTTCTCTTCGTTTAATGAAAAACTACCGGAATGATAGAAATTAACTATGCTTCGATTTAGATGTAAAAAAAAAAAAAAAATTATTCTTAGAAAAACATTTTGTTTTCCTTGATTGAATATTTTTTTGGCAAAAATTTTCAAATGAAATGTAAATGTTTAGATTAATAGATATAATAAAATTGAAATATATCTCGCAGTGAATTTTGCATAATGATAAATTTTTTATAATAAATATTTGTCAAATCGAACCGTGACCTCATTTTTTTCGGCGATCTATTTACGATATTTATACGTTTAATTTAGATCACATTTAAGCATGTTACACAACGTTTACACTTCATTGCCGATATATTTAATTATTTATTATTCATCGTATAGTGATATGTATAATTGAGTCTATGTATATGTATACACTCTCGTGCACAACCAACTCGATAAAGCATACCATTCCATCTTTCAAGTTACTATTACAATTGTAACAACTACTACATCAATATTCCTCGTTCTTTAAGCACTTAGGTATTTCGCGCTCATGACCCTCTCGAATTAAAGACGTGATATTCGACTACAACGAACACAAGAAACCCATGTATAACGCGTGCATGTTCGTACCTCGTTACCAACGAACAACGTTCTCTCTATTCTCGAATTATGCTTACGTGTTACACGGCTAACACATTGTACGATACGTTCTAACGCGATTCATACATATTTGAGGTTATCCATGCTCGTATGTGTCAGTATACGCGGATTTCAAGTACATTCACAATCACTGGTCAGAATAATATACAGAAACGTCTATACTCGCCAGAACAGGTGCATCGGCCTGAAGTACGACCAAGAAAATTATTGATTTTCGTTTACCTACTGAGCCGGTTGCTGTCCCGTGCTAGCATGGCGAATGCAACGCCGTCCCTTGGCACGACTGGGACGCCCTGTATTCGAAGACAATGGCCTTAGGTCAGTGAGCCTGGTGCCATCATGACACCGTGTAAATCGAATCTGGCTCGAAATGAAAGCTGATATGTTATCACAGATCGAATAGTAACTTTCTCCATTCTTGTTTCCAGTTTCCGTTTCAATATTGAAAAAATAAGATCAGCAATGATATGTGAAATGATCATTCGATAAATCGTTGTTTATTAAGAAAAAAGGAAAATATTGGAATGTTTGGTTATGTTTGCTACAAAAAAATTATTAATCTGTTTTATAATTATAATCAAAATGAATATTGTATAATAATAGAAACAATAGAAGAAATCACGATACAAAATAAATTAATTGAAAAAATAAAAAATGATCAATGGTATTGACTTTCAACAAAATCGTAATTCAAAATAAAAAAGATTACAAAATTTTTAACGAGTTTTTCTTGCAGATACTAAATATAATATAATACTTGTATGTATTTTTTAAAGATTGTTTATTTTTATGGAATTAGAACAAAAATATTAAATGATATTTTATCGATATCATATTCTTTGTATTTGTGAAATATGATTTGCAAAATTATAAATTTTCATAAATGTATATGTCATTTTTAATTTTTTAATTGACGTACACCGATATTGTTATAATATATTTATATCAGATATTTCTTTTTATTAGATAAACAATAAAGCATTTCAAAATCACAAAAATGATTAAATTGCATCAAACGCAATTGTTATTTGACAAAAATAAAAAGTTATGACAATAAGATAATATATTGTGAAATAATACAAAGATTGAAGTTCATACAGAATAAAATAATAAAAAAATAAAAACAATAAAATTCATTATTCTTCATAGAAACTAAATTGTTATCATATTCTAATTTTTTAAAAAATCTAAATACATTAATGAAGATTAATGTTTCACAATTATCTTTTTAAAAATCATAACTATGCTTATTATATATTTTAATCTAATTTTTTTTTATTATATAGAGATTACATTCGTTGCTTTTACAAATCATATGGTGAATGGAATACAAGAATAAAAAATTAGAAAAAAATAAGTAGATATTTTCATTAGCTAGAAAAATAATTTTATAACATATAAAAGTTCATGATATGTAAAAATTACAATCAATATGAATATTCAATTTTTAATGAAATATATTTAAATTAATAGATAACGTTAAATAAACTATATATTAATATTTTTTTAAGTAAATTATTTAAAATTATTTTAGAAAAGTATGAAATATAAAAAATTTGAGATAGATCTCGAATATTAGAGCGACTTGAAGGATCGATAATGCATCAACTCTCGCTTTTCGTTACAAGATTTATGGAATACCTAACGAATGTCACAACACGAGTTATAATTCTAATCAATGATCACAGTTAAATGGTAAAAAAATGAAAGGAACATTGTAAACGTGCTTTCAATTGAACAAATTAAAGCAGTTGAGATAAATGAAATATAATTGATTATGTTATTTTTCTTTTGTAACACAATTTTTATATCTATCGATGACTGCTATTTTTTATCTTTGATATACCAGAGAAATATATATAAATTTGAATATTTTATTATTCGATGTAAATAATGCAGTGAGTATACTAATATAAATTTAAAAAAAATGTATATTTGTCATAACTTCTTGTTTTTATTCGATTCATATGACATTTATATATAACCAAAAAAAAGACTCACCATTTTGGACAGAGTAATCCCATTCGCTTTTGTCGGCCATTTCGTAAAGGACGATCACCTTATCGAAAATTCAGATCCGCGAAATTAAGATCCGAGTAGAGTTTACTGCCGGTCGTCTTGTCGGTTTACAATTTTTTATTAAATCGAATACGTCACTATATTGCGTTTTTCTTCTTAATCTATTATATTCGCGAGTCGTAATTATTGAATTTGTTGATTAAATTCACTATCGGTCGATTCAAAATTAAAATAAAATCGAGAAACGATTGTCAAATACACCAATAGTTGACTAACTTTTAACTTCTTTGTTATATTACAGATATTTTCGATTCATGAACAAAAAAGTTCTGATGATTATATCAATACTATACAAACTAACTTTTAGAAATGCATATATATATAAATTTTAAGAAAATTATTTATATCTATTAAAGATCGAAGCAATAAAATGACTCACAACACAAATCATCCACGAATGCGACGCCGGCCGGCCAACTACTGGATTTTATACGCGCGTCAGTCACGTGATTCTTACTATGGAAATGTAAGTGACTGCGCATGCGTTAGTAAATGTTTACACGTGCAGCGTCAATCCCCACCATATACTAGCTAGCACGTGCTTACTTATGATCAAACATGATAATTTTTATTCCAAAGTTTTCGAATTTTTTTATAAATCAAATAGTTAATTTGACGTTTACTTTAAACAGTCATAAAGCAATAAATGATTAAATTAATCGTTATAATCGTTAATCGTTATAAAGCGTTTGTTGGCTAATATGAGTTCGTACTGTGAGAAGGATAGTAACTAACGATTTAATGCTTTAATGATTCATTTTATAATCTATTTCAAACGAGAACATTAATCTCGATGAGATGATAAGGTAATATAATACGTTACAATTGTCCTATCAATTGCAATGAGAAAAAATCAAATATATCCTTTATTGAAACTGCGGTAAACGATTTTTTATTATTCCTCTATAATTTTTTATTACATTATCAAAATTTCGTGGAATATTTGTATCAGTTTGGTTTTTTAATAATGTGTAATTATCGTGATTGATCAATGAAAAGATTAAATTGATTCTTAAATATACTTTTTTAAATTTTATTCTGTTTGCGGTATGCGTTTTTTATTTTAAATGTAACAATTTTTCTTTAATTCAATTTACTTTTTATACTATATTTTTTTTCTTCATGGATTTATGACAACATATACACAAATGCTAGATATTATTTTAATCGTCGTTTCAGCATGCATATTTCTAAACCAGATGATACAAACTCGTTTATTATATCAACTGAAGAATCATGATCACACAACGAAATTGTATTCGTTAACCGATGAATCACAGTATATAGTCTTTAAGAGGTCGAGGACCGAAATATTTCCTATAATATATTTTCATTATTTTAACTATATTATTAGAAATACCTGATCTAACAGTATTCTAAAGTTGGCCAATAAAATTTATTAGCCTAAGGATTTCCATAGATACAGAAAAAATATATTAATATAATAATACGTTGGTAGACATAATAAATCACTAAATAATCCTTTCCTCATAAAGTAATAATTTCTTTATCAATGTAGTCTTTCAATCAGGTAAGTATTGTAAACTTAATCTTTTAAATCCTCATCTGTATATATTTTTAGAAGGAAATTTTTGGGACAAAGATAAACAAATCTATAGAGCCAAAAGTTTATGAAATTAAAATAAAATATTATATGACTTAGAGATTAACGAAAAATATATTATATTAAAAAAAATAAAAATATTTAACTATTAAAATGAATTGAGATATACTTCTACCTTAAATTAATTTCTTTTTTTATACAAATTAACAAATATCGAAAAATTTTTCAAGATGCTCGTACTATTTTAATTTCATCAAACTCGCATAATATTATCACGTCAATGTTATGTCATGGAACGTGCCCGATGCCGTGGTCATTTTGACTTCATTATATCAATAAAAGAATCGCACTATAATGTTCTCAATAAAAAGTAATGAATTCCAGCAAATTCCATCACAAAACATTGATCGACGTCCCTTCATATTTCCTTCATATTTCTAACATTAAGCAAGCATGAATGCAATTTCCCTAAATCTTCTGTTTTCCATGTGATTTTTTACCAAATTCCTTGTTCAATTTGTTTGCAGTTTATATCCATCATTATTTCGTATCTTTTTTTTACCTTTGGATGTTTCAAATAAAAATAAATATTCTAAATTAATACATATATTTTTTTTAAATAAAAATATAATATTAAAAAGATTACTTTTTGTGAGACTTCATAGAAAAAAAACTTAATGTAGATTATTATAGACTTTAATTGAAATGCATGTATTAATTATAATTACCTTTGAAGAGGCAGTATAAAAAAAGATACGATTCACTAAATCAATTCTTGCAAATAAAATTGTTAATTGCAATAAAATGGGTGACAGAATCATGTAAATATATAATCTTCTTTTGATTCGATTGTATGTTTCCATTGGTAAATGCTCAGTAGCGTAATCCATTTTGATGTGCCTAACCTAAAGTAAAAAGAATGAAATTCAATTTTAGTCGAATAAGAAATAGAATTTCATGAAATTGTTTTTGATTAAATTACTTGTTATAATGATTTAAATAGCTTTTTTAATACTAAAAATTAAATATGAGTCAACTATATTTTATCGTAGATAAACAGTAAAGTTACTTGACAATTATTTGAATTATAAAAAATTATGGATTATATCATAAATAAAAAAACATTATAAATCTTAAAATAATAAAACAAATATATTTAAATAAAATTCTGTGTTTGAACTTGCATTATTATTTATTCATCGAAGTATTAACCAATTGGACATTTCAATCACGAGTTATTTTGCATTTTAATTTCGACTTTAGTATAGAGGAAATGATATTACGCTTGAATTCTTTACGATTGTTACGTAATTGTCATTTTGCTTGTCCTTCATTGCAATTAAAGTGATATATGATCGAGTTCCTACTTTAAAAAATATTTTCGATCTATATCTTTCACTGATCGAATTCAAGAAATAATTTAATAAAATAGTTACTAGGAAATAATTTATGTTAATAGCGATCGATGTAAATAACAATATAAGTAGACATGTTAAAAATACTAATTCAATATTCACCTTTTGCGATATCACTCTTTTTATAATAAATTTTGTAAATATATTATTATTGATTTTTATTTTCAGCTGAAATATTATTTATTAATATTTATACTAATAAGTTGTTAATAGTAATAAGTTAATAAATAGTTTGCTGTAAATAAAATTTATAAATTATTAAATTTATTTGTATTTCTTATGTATCGAAAAAATTTTAAGTATTCATTTCATGAAATTAGAATTTTAATCGATTAATATTTTATTAGATTTAATTTAATATTTTTGTGCAATTGTCCAAATTTCCCCAACTTTTTAATAAAACATTTATTCACTTAATTTCTTAATCATCTGGTTAGAAATTTTATCATATTCTTATCTTATTACAAGTGAACAGCATTCTTCAATTAGATTTAATTTAATATTTTTATGCAATTGTCCAAATTTCCCCAATTTTTTAATAAAACACATTTATTCACTTAATTTCTTAATTATCTGGTTAGAAATTTTACCATATTCTTATCTTATTAAGTGAACAGCATTCTTCAATTAGCGTAATAATAAAAATAAAATCACAAATATCAAAAATACCGATTAATGTAAGAATATTATTAATAAATGATTCACTTTGTATTGACTTTCTAAATAACTTCTTTCAATTAAATAAAGCAATTATTTTATCAGGGATTTCCAAAAATAATATCGATTTACATATTATCACAATATCAATCAATTATAACAATAAATGATTTAATTATTTTTTTGATTTTGTAAATTAATAATACTAATAATTTCCAAAGAAAAGAATCGTATCACTTTTATATTTTATCTATCATTATTTTATGACATCATTTTATAAAATTGAAGTACTTACCAGAAACTTCAAAGATTTATATGACTTTCAATCGATCATATTGTGCTTTATTTTGATTCAAAAATATTTAAACTTTTTCATTATTTTTCGAATTATTCATTAATACTTGTTAAAGTAAAATTTCCATGAATACATCGACTAGAGAGACGACAATCGACTTTAAAAACATGTAACATGAAACGTATTATTAATATGGCAATGTAATAATGTTTTTTTTATTCCAAAAAAAAGTTGAAATACAAAACGAATTTAACGAATATATATATGTATATTTATTATATTTTATATTAAATATTAAATATAAAAATACGAATAAAATATATGTTTAACACAAAGAAATATACAAACCTTTATTATCTTTTTCTTTTTTTTTTATATAAATTTAGATATCTTCGATCCATAGACTATCATAAATATTTATTTTTGTAGTTACAATTTTTAAAGACAAGAAAAATAAATGAAAAGATGGAAATAGGATAAAAATATTGAAATTAGCAGCATCTGCAGAATGTTGTAAATGAAATACATAAAGAAAAGATAGAAAATTGTCAGACAAAGATAAATATAATATAAGAATTTGCCTACAGCATCATCTCTTGAATACTAAAAATATTTCATATTTTAATATTTTTCAAAAGATGACGCTAATTATCAATTCTTATTCTGTTTTATCCTATCTCTACTATTTCCTTCTCTATGTTTGCTTTTATTGTTAGTGCATAACCATAAGATATGGGATTTCGAACGTGTATCATTTCTTTTTCTTTTCAAACTACAATATGTTTTAATTTTTAATATAAAATATATTATATTTTCGGCTTTATAATATATTTCTTATCAATATATTTCCATTAATAATATTGCAATTTTAGTTTAAGCCAAATTGATGAACATTGAGAATAATAGTAAAACGTTAAATCTATTTTTTATTTTTATATAGTGCAACATCAAAAGTGAGGCTAAGATATATCGTTTTTCAAATGAAGTTCGATCTAATTAATCGTCTTTCTAATCATTGTTAATTGTTTAAATAATAATAAACATTCAATTGCTAGACTTTCGATCATAAATTACACGCAATTATGCAATATTTTATAAATTATTGTTGTGTGAAGTGTTAATATCTATATTTTTTCCGTCATTATTATATACAAATTGTAAGTATTAAATTATAATAAACGAAAAGAAATTCAAAAATACATTTTACGTTAAGACAAAGAAATATGATATTTATAAATATTACTATTTATTATTTGCAAAATTTTTTAAACAAATTCATAATAAAACTTGAATTATAAATGAGTTTTTAAAAATAAAATAGGAATACAAAAAATATTTCCATGATTCGATCAAAAATAGTTAAAGTTATAAATAATTCGAATTTCTAAAACTTTGTAACATTATATATTAACTGAAAAAAAAATTATAAATAAAATATTGCATAATGTAATGTTTTATCGTAATAATTTAAGACCTTACCAATATAATTTTTATTTCGGATTCCATATAAAATTAGAAAATATTTATGTATATTTTTTGCTATTGCTTATATGAAATATAAATATAAGGATCAAATTAAAAAACAAAGTAGCAACTAGATATAAGAAAAAGTGAAAATAGATTTTGTTCTGGAAAAAATCGAATATAAAAAAAAACATTTGTAATGTTTTTCGATTTAAATTAAAATAAAGAGGAGACGAGTATCGAATTAAATAAGTAAAATTAAAAATGAGGAAATAATATTTCTTGAAATTTTAAAATAGTTCAACATTCTATAGAGAATCTTGAAACTTCACTTTGCCATTGGCAAAATATATTCATTGTACACAAAATTATAATCAATTTTATTTATTTAATAAATGTATAATAAAGATAAATAAAGCCTGGTATTCTAAAATGATTTTATTAACTCTTAACTTTACACGTGTTTAATATGCAGTACTTGTCAGAAATATTTGTATATGCGTGTATCTGTGTATGTGTGTGTTAATCAACGTTCTTTTATTTATCGTTGACGATATCATTCGAAAAGATGACCGTTAACGAAATACGATATCTTTTCGATCGTAGAAATCGAAGGAAGGACATTTTTACCTGGCCAAGCTCCTATCCGGAATTCTATTGAAACGAATAACGAACAAAAATAATTTTTGATAAGTATTATTCTTATGTATATACCATTATGTATATAAGAAATTGTTTATACGTAATGTGATAATTTCTCCTTTCTCGTTTCTCTCTTTGAAGTGGAACTTTTTTGTTTATTCATGTCCTTTAGGAATCGATCGAATTCTACAATCTTTATTTTATTTCCTTGTCGTAATTTTTTTCGTTTCTTCATTGTTGTTTCCTCATTGTCTTTTGTACAAAATACTTTCGAATCACCCTTCATCTTTGTTTTTCGTAGGACAAAAAAGAAACCGAATTTCTTAAAGTTTTCTAGATGACAATTGTTTTCTTATTTTCATTTTCATCAGACCTAACCTCTTTTTTTCTTTACATTTTTTCTTCCATTCTCCGTATTTTATAAATATCGTACATATTTATCATACATATTCGTCGTTTCTGTCACAGTAACACAATTGTAGCGCATGAAAATTATGCGATGATATGATTAAAAGCATGATATGAATTCTCTTGCTTATCGCAGGTCACAGATCAGAGATTCAGAAAGTTGTCTTTAAATGGTATTTCGCAATCGATTATACACGATTGATATATTCTCTTCCACGATTCGAACTTCTTTTATTTTCATTTATTTTCTTTTCATTGTATATTTTTTTTCTTTTTTGTAAAAAAAGATTTCAATCTTTTTTTTTTTTTTTTTTTAAAAAAAAATTTCAATCTTTTTTTTTTTTTTTTTAAAAAAAAATTTCAATCTTTTTTTTTTTTTTTTTAAAAAAAAATTTCAATCTTTTTTTTTTTTTTTTTAAAAAAAAATTTCAATCTTTTTTTTTTTTTTTTTAAAGATAGCTCGAGCGTGGTTTGTCTCGTCGATCCATGACATTTTAATTTTCTTGAACAGTTGATACACTAAAACATGATACAAAAATAGAAAATACTCCCAAGATTTTTAATTCGTGTGATATATCGCAACGAGTTTGTAATATCTTGTTCGTTTCATGAGAACGCAACGTTACTTCATGGAGTAAAATACCTATATCTGTTCGATATATTCTGCGATAAACAAGACGCGATGAAAATGAATTCAAGAGATAGTCGCGTGTTAATATACTTACATCTTCTACATTATAAAGATGTGAATTAATAGTATTATATATTATATTGTAATTTAGCTTGCATACGAAACATCCGTTTATCATTCTACATACACAATTATCATCATTCATACCAAGTTTTAATAGGAGTGACCCCAAATTTGTAGATTTATTAAATACCTATTCATTTTACGAAAAAGTGAATGAACGGAGCCTTCAAATTCGAGGTACGCGAAAGATATCATATTTTTTTCTTTTTCTTTTCTATTCCCTTTTTTCATCTTTTCTTTCGATTTCTCGCATTATTTCCTTCTTCTTTTAAAAAATATCAGGAAATTATCGAGGTATTGAAGAAACGGCAATGCGTACATACCCGTATCCCACGAAAAAAATTACAATTCATATTTTTTCTATTTTTTTTTTTTTTAATTTATTCATTCATTGAAATTAGTCAGAATTCTTCTTTGCAACAGAGCAGTTTGTTAGATTATAAAATTATTCTTATAAAAAAATGCGTATGCGCCGAAGGATGTACGGGTGTTTACGCTTGTTTGTATATGTTAAAAAGTAGGTCTTATTACTTTGTCCTTCTCTCCTTTTGTTCCATCTTATTTAATCCCATTTTTTTTTGTTTTAATTAATTAGTTTTTTGGCTTGGTAACTATATAAAATCTAAATTAAAATTAAGTTTTCAACAGATTTAGAATTATTAAAAGATAAAATTGTTTTTCAAGCTAAAAAAAATAGAAACAAAGAACTTTAAATAATAGTCACAGAATATAGTTATAATTAAAAAAAAGAAACAATTTCTTGTCAGATTGTGCGTAAAACGAGTAGAAAGCCCGTTGTACATTGCGAATAAAAATAAAATAAAATAAAAAAATAAAAAGAGCAAGACAATGTAAATGTTATATTATATGAGGTGGATCTGGCAGTGTTTTCGAACATTGATCTAAGTAACTGCAGCAGACTGTCTATCGAACGACAAATAGGTAATATACATATTTATATATATATATATATATATATAATATATTTGTATATATTATCATTAATTTTTCTTTTATTCTGCATGGCCTACAGCGCCAATGGAAGCATTTGCTGTCACTCTGCAATGGCATATCGCGCAAACAGATATACACGATTAAGTTACGTTTTTCTTTTTTCTTTAAAAAAATCTTCACGTTTTACTAAGTTAATCGTTTAAGTCTGACAATCGATTGTCGGATGGGTCAGTTCAATAAAATCGTAGAATATTTGAAACTGATATTCGTTTCCTTTTCAATATTCCTTCCTCTTATAAAATGGACAGTATAAAAAAAATCTTGAATAACTAGCAATAAAACTATCTCATCCGACGACGAATTATCATATTTCTTTTTTTTTTATCTGGCAGCGTTATGCATTATAGGTACGTTGTAAGATTCGTTAAGTCAATAGTCTTTGATACTTGGAGACCGCATTTTTCTTTTTCTTTTTTTTTTTTTTAAACAGTAAATTGTGTTAAGTCATAGAACCATTATATGTGTTTTCATCATTCACAGCAGGATACCCTTATTGCTTAAAAAATGGCACTGATATTACTGAAATATTTAACGAGTATCATTGCTGCATATACACATTGGTTCTTTTTCCTATCCTCATATTATCAAGTAAAATACATTTCGCCCTAAACGACTTGGCTGGTTCTACAAGTTTCATAAACCTAAAACCTAAAATATCCGCTTACCCGGTCAGAGTAGTGAATCATTCTCTCTCTCCCTTTCTCTCTCTCTCTCTCTCTTTCTACAGTTTGAATTCGTTACGAAAGGCAACGCGTGATTTGTAATCCCATACACTCCCTAGAAAAAGTTTCCCGTGAAATTACAAGACGGTCGATAATGACAAAAGTACATTTGTTAAAATAAAAATAAAATGAAGAAGAAAAAGAAAAGAAATTTATGGACGATTTCCCTCTTATTTCTTTTCTTTCTCTTCCTTTAAATACCGCGGATAAATAGCGATAAATGAGTACATACATATACATATATATATACATATATATACATATATATATATATATATATGTAGATTATATAATAAAGTAAATAAAATGGGCGTGACTTTTGTTGTGAATTCTCACGAACAGATCTTTCATCTTCTCTTGTATCGTAATACCGATATATTATATATTATATATTGATATTGAATGCCGGGACGAACGAAAGCATTTTTTTTTTTCTTTTTTTTTCTTTTTTACTTAAGATTGTTGTATACGTTCAGAGATCCGCAGTTGTCGATTTTACCGGCAAGCTGAGATTTTTTCTGATAATTGGTTTGGTTTTGCGCGTGAATTGGGGAGTCTCCGAGCATCGCTAACATATATTTGCGCGTAGGCGAGTGAACCGTATTTTGTTAGGGAGGTACGTATGGAGGTGGTTTCCTGTACGTAGGAGTAGGTTTAGGACGATTCTGACGATTAGTGTCGCGATTCGTGGCGAATGGTGGAGGTGGTTGGTACGGTTCTTCGGAATTCTCCTTTGGCAACATTGGTACATCTGCACCGTCTTCGGCTTTTTGATATTCGGGAGGTGGTAACGGTGGTTTCTCTTCTTTTAAAATGACAGGAGACTTGTTACCTATAATACATGAAAATATGATGAAAAAATATGATTGTTAAAAATATGATATATTCTATTTTAATAGATGAAAATTTATAAAATATATATACCTGGATCTGGTTTTTCATCCAATTCATCTTGGAAAATAACCGGTATTCCCTTGCTACGGAAACTTTGTCTTTCGTCATCTTGTTCGCTGACACTCATTTTCCCACTACGCCTTCGTCTATAAAACACGCATGCAATGATGCCTGCTAAAATGAGCATTATGGCGATTATTATAGCTGGCAGGACGAATGTGATAAGATAATCATCGTGGAACGCCCCAACTGAAGTGGAATCGTCCACTGGTGGAACATGATTGTCACGCGAATGAACGTCTGTTAATTCGCCAAGACAAATGCCCATGGGAATCACAGTGATTTGTTTAACAGGGAATTTTAAACCCATGATCTCAAGGACTTCATCTGTAACGGATCGACGATCATTATCACTCTTAACAAGCACTGAACGCAATCTGCTAACTTCTTCATGCGCGCAATACGAGGTAGGCAAAGTTCTGTTGTGCCACGTGATTACTGTGCTACCATTTGATATGCTATGCAATGAGATTGCATTAGTATCTTTATCTTGATACAAATCACGTAACTTTTCAATAAAATTGCGCTTTTGAAGAGCAGAATGTGCAAATGATTCATATGGGATATCCAATGTCATGGAAAATTCTACTGTGTGTTGCATAAAAGGAGCAGAATGAACCACAACCACTAGGCCATCGGTGGCGCTTGCGCCTATAACAAATAGAACAAAATGTTACAAAAAATATTCATTTGTTATATATAAAAGATAAATATAGTTAATTCTGATACATTACCTTCTTTATCAGTAACTACTAATTGATATTCTTTACGTCCAACGTCACTACGCATTGGTACTCCATAAAATTCTTGATTTTTACTATCGAATTGCAACCACTCGTATGGCGGAATAGGTTTGCGTTCAATAGTTAGCAGAGACATTTTCATGTTTCTTGCAGAACCATCTTCTGCATCGTAAAAAGTATCCTAGAGTAAAATTTATATAAAAAATCATTTATATCAAAGTATATATTATGTAATGCGCTTTTTTTATATAATAATGAAATATGACGTAGTACCTCTGGTACTTTAAATACAAGTAATTGACCAACAGTGGCATTGACAAGATCCACTTGATTTCTTGGTAGTGGCGGGAAATTTGATTTAGGCTCCTGCGTGGAAACTTTTGGCACTTCTGGACGGGTCATATCTTCGCATTGCCCAATGCCTTGATAAACTACTCGTTTTACTCTAATTTCAGGAAGAAGAACATTTCTCAGCGAAGAACTAGGATCACCATTTCTATCAATCAAAACCTAATCCACAAACATGGAATTAAATTTTTTATATTATCTAAAACAATAGCAAAATAATAACTATATTTACATGTAATAAATCGTTGATATAATCTTTAGGACAATCGCTGCTTCTAGGCAAACTATCGTTGGTCCAAGTGAAAATCGCCTGATCGCGATCGATATCGACTGATCTAACAGTAATATGTCTGGTATCGCTATCTTCATATAATTCGGCTATACTTCGAATTACCTACAAACCAATAAGAATTGAATATATACTAATACAAGCTATATTATAAGAGATAAATACCTTTAGCTCCCAGTCTACGTCTGTAGGAAATTCAGTTCGCTTATCGATCCTTAAATATATACTAAATTCATGATTTACAGTCCGACTAAGCTTGTGCTGCTGTACGTGAATATCAAGTCGATCTGTCACATTTAATCCCTCGCTATCGGCAGCTACCAATTCGTAAGTCCAGGTAGAAATATCGTTCTCTAGTGGCCTATGTAATAACAACTAATTATAAATTGCGAATTTTATTGCAACGAAATTATTATTCTTAATGACAATTCATTCACCAATATTATTTCTAATGAAATATTATTTCTTGGTGCTTACAATCCATAAACTTCCTGTGTTTTTTGATTAAACTGCAACCAGTGAGTGGATTTTAACGGTGCACCTTGTAGATATAAACTTAGTCTCAAATTCCTGGTATCTCCATCTTCTATATCGCTAAACGTGTTGGCAGGTATGACATAGCTTAACGGTTTTCCAGCTGTGACAGGTATTTTCTTCAATCTTCTATCTTGTTTAGGTACAAAGTTGTGAACTTCGTACTCGGTTTCCGTGATAACTCTAGCTGGTTCAGTAGCAGCGCTGGTCGGCGCTGGAGTGGTAGTGGTCGTGGTGGTGGTTGTACTGGCAGTGGTTGGAGCCATAGTAGTAGTGGTAGTGGTGGTGGTGGTGGTTGTTGTGGTAGTTGGCGTTGTTCTCATCTGTGTCGTTATTATTGGTGTTGTAGTTGTAGTGTTATAGAATGTAACGAATGCTGTAGTTGTGGTTGTGATTGTAGTGTTCGCAGGTACTGTGACAGGTAACAGAGTACTGGATTGTTTCGTCGAGGTCATAGACGATTGTTCTGTCGGCTGGAGGCAGAAAGAAGATATTTTAATATTGTAAAAAAAAAAATTAATTATTTGTAAAGTCTCGATGCATGAAAGCATCGTGATTAAAAAATTGATAAGATCTTGAAAACTTGATCAGAAAATATTTGATCATAATATTTAGAAAATAGTACGAGAGAATCGTGCAAATTATCACTTTAAACATAATTTTCAAGTATGAAAGAGAGACAGAAATATTTGAAATAGTTTTTCAAGAAACAACGTTCCTTTTCTATGGTATTCATTACAGTTTGTATGAATTATTGTTGGTACATCCCACTTTAAAATGACTCGCATATACATATGACGCTATATTGAATTACACTTCTAAGTATAACTTTCTAATTATCATCTACGTAGTTCCATAACTAACGACAATGAGCAAAGGATATCCACACGATTCTTAACGCACGTTGCATCATTTAAAAAAGAGGAAGATGGCTTGGGTTTGGGATGTGATACAACGACCTATCGTTTGGCATACTAAAGCGACAGACTAACGTAAATCGATTCTATGCATAGCATGAACTATCGTGAACAAACGAAGCTTGAAGCATTGAAGCATTACCTCTTCCGTAGTGACATTAATGGTACCACTGGTCACATCCGTTTCCGTCCTTTCGACAACAACAGTGGTAGGGATGGTTCCAGTAGTGGTAGTGGTGGTAATGGTGCTAGAATGGGGTACAATTACCGAAGGGGGGATGGTGGTGAGTTCTGGTATAGTGACAGATGAGACATTTAAAGAATCAGTCTCCGTGTATCTGGTATTCTTCGTTGTCTCTTCGATCGTTATCTCCGATTTCTCCGGTGGCTCGGTCGATGGAACAATGATGGTCGGCATAATGGTTGCTGTTGTTGTATCTGCTATTGTTGTACTCGTTGTTGTGCTAGTAGTAGTACTAGTGGCCGTTGACGAGGGTGGTTGTTGAGTTGTTGTTGTTGTTGTTGTTGTTGTTGTCGAAGTAGTTGAGGTAGTCGTCGTGGTGGTGGTTGTTGGAGTTGTTGATGGTGGTGATGTAAGTTCAGTGGTTGTTGTCTGCGAAATCGTTAGTAGATGCGATGTACGGCACGAAAAACTTTGTTAGTTACATTATGAAGGGAGCGAAGAAGATGTAAATACAAAAAGTAAAAAAGAGAGAAAAAAAAAAAATATATGTATATATATATATATATATATATAAAGTATATGCTCTTCTTTCTCTTTCTTTCTTTCACTCTCTCTCAGGCTTTCGTTTCTGGTTTCAACAGAGATACTTCGCATTACAGCGCTTTCTATACATCGATCGATACCGCCTAAACGGCATAGAAAATGGCATAAGTCGGCATTGAACACGCAGTACCCATAGCTATACTAAGGTATTTTAAGCGCAACGATTCCCTTAAGCGATTGGCATGGCGAATGAAGGACAGAGACATAAGAATTTTCAACGAAAGCCAGTTATATAGCGATGTTCTTTTTGCTAATTTTCTTTTTCAAATATTATTTTTTTCTTGATTTAGGAAAAAGAGAATCGTGGTGACGACTTCATCACACGACTCGATTAATTTCGATCTTATACTTACAGTTGACATGGCGTCTGTAGTGGTTCTATTTAATACACTCTCTATTATGTCTGGATGAGTGTCGGGTATTATAAGATCATCGTTATCATCTTCGGTCTAAGATATAAATAAACTTTGTTAAAATGGAATAAAGTAATTTCGATTATTCGTTCGTATAAATTCGTATAAATAAATCTTACGTTCCAATCGATAGGTTCCTCCCCATGGTGATGCCTGTGAGGATGCTCCGGGGCAAGATTTTCCCTAGGATTAGTTTCGGGCATGAACGTTGGCTGTACTTGCGAGTCATCCCCATCCTCGCCGTCCTCTCCATCCTCACCATCCTCGCCATCCTCGCCATCTTCACCATCGTATTCAATATCATAATCGTAACTGTCGTAATCCGGATTACTATAATGTCCGGAACCGCTCTCTCTTCTGCTTCTTAGTAACAGGCTCGATTCCGTTTTAACGCGCCATAATAGGACCGGAAGTTGCATTACTTCCGCCAGAGTGCCATCCTTCGCTTGTTCTCGCAGATGTTTCACCAAATCTGTCTGGTGTCTCCATAAATGACCGTCACAACCGACCTTTGTAATTCAAATATACAGAATGGTTATTTTAATTGGTAATTAAAATCTTCCTTTAAAAAGGAAAAATAGGCGAGGCGTGAAGATTAAAAATTGTCGAATAATAAAAATTAATTATAAAAATCTT